TGTTGGGAATGCATTCGCAGATAGAATCAGGAAAGACAATCTTGAGTATGAATGGGCTGAAATCAGGTCTAAATATATGAAGTTGAATAAACCTCAGTATTTTAATGGGTGAAGATGTCCCAAACACTTGAAGTTACTACATTCTACTTTTTAAAATAACCTCTTTTAATATCTCTTTATTTTATTCTGATCATACTATCTCCCTTCACATTTTTCTTTTGGATTAAAATTTTAATTTATTTATGAAAATATTTTGTATGACTTCAAATTGTACTATAGCTGAAGTGTCATTTCAGCAAATGACACTTCAGTTACAGCACATATACCTTTTTTCAGAACACCCCTCATTTCAGAAAATAATAAAACATAGTCACACACTGAAGAAACACAAAGATTAAAAATAGCATAGATGTACAAATTTAAATCTACAGGTAGCAGTTTTTTTCTATTAAAATACCCCTTTAATGAGAAAATCTTTTATGCTATCTTTTAAAATTATTTATCATGACTCTCTAGTGATGGATTCTGGAAATGTTCTTTCATAGTCGTGAACTCTCTCATGTTAATTATTCGACATCAAACATTAAAATCTTCCTTTCTAATCTGATCAATATGCATGTCAAATTATTTTCTCTCTCTCTCTCTCTTTTTTTTTTTTCTCAAAGGATTACTTATGTCTCTTGCCTGTAGGCAATAATCTCCTTAGGGTCCTTTGCAGTAGCTCATATTGAGCCACCAGGGGGCGTGCGTCCTCCAGCACATCATTACCAGGCCTGTCAGTAAAATACAGCCCACAGTATTTTCCCAAGATCCAGAAACATAACCTTATTCTTGTCACAGCTAAAATAAAAATTAAATGCCGAATTTACATAAAATTATCAAAATATGTTTTATCTCAATTTTCAGTAACCCCCAGCAGACCAACTTTTACTCTTTCTTTCAATAATTTTTCTATGAAAAATATAGCAGCAAGTCATGCCAATTCCATTTACCTATCAATCAAATGGTAATTTTCATAATGTGTGTTACCATAGCACCCACAGCCTGTGATATTCTGCCACTTCTGTTTTCTTAATGTTGGGGTCCCATTGCAGGTAAGCAATCAAGGATTCCTCCAGGGGAATGGAGAACAAGGAAAGGAGTGTGTAAAGGGGAACCCGAATAATCACCTCAGTGATGGGTTGACAACACAGAATCCACCGACGACTCCACCCCCTCACTTTAAAGATAAGGAACCAAGTTTTTAAACTAGGAGTGCATTATGCGAACTGAGTTTGCGAACACAGCCCACCTGGAAAACTTCAGCTCAATAATGACTGACAGTAAGTGACAGTTTCCCCCTGACAGCGCCTCAGAGTTCCTCCCTAATTAATTCCTAAAACACTCCTTCAGCAATGTGTCAGCTTTATTCTTTAAAAGAAAATCCAAGAGAGATCGCAGGCAAAGCGTCTTTCCTTTTTCTCTTAAAACGAAAGCAGAGTTAAACATACAAAAAGGGGCTCTTCTCGTCATCTAGGCTTGTGGGTAGAACATTTGGTCATGACCTTCTGTAACATCCTCAGTCAAAGGCATTGTGTAGCAATAGACCTGCATTCTCAAGTACTTCAGGTTTTTCCATTCGTTGTGGACTGACAGGATCATAGACACATGAAGTAGCCAATGATCAAAACATAAACACTTAAAATGTTCAAGTTTAGGGTGTGGGTAAGTTATGTAAGCATTGTAAAGAAAAGATGTACTGAATATTGAATCCGATAACTGTTACCAAAATTATAACCAACTCCGGATTATTTAAAGAAACTTTGCCCTGAATCTTCTAATTGGCTCACTGATTCCAAGGGTTGCGATGCACTTTTCCTGTGTATGATAAGATCCCTAAGCATCAATATATAGCTAATAAAAGCCGATAGGAGAGGAAGAACTGGGCGCCCTATAATTCCACATCTCTAAAAGGCTGCAGGCAGAGGCCTCTAAGAAAAGTCATCACCACACCACTAGTTTGTCATCTTGGAAAAGCGCCTTGAGCAAAACTGACCCTCACTTGGACAAAATCTGGCAACAATCCGTATGGACTTATATGCTTACTGAATGCTTTCTTGAGGTAGATTCTTAGAGGAGATTGCTATCCTTCGGGAAGCTGTGAATTGGATGTATTTCTAGTACATAATAGGAAAATCAGTATAATTAAACATGTTAAATTTGAAGGAAACTATTATTTCAAATCTTGGTGATCAATGATTATATTTTTTATCATATAGAATGGAAATAACACCATTTATTAATTCTTTAAAGGAGGGATTGTTGGAGTCAAGATTAAGACCAATCTACTTGGTGAATTCCTTTTAATAGAATTTGATTAATGACTGTCTATACCTTTTTGCAATGAGAAAGAAGTCCGACATCTGCTATTACTTGTGAACATGAAAATTTGCTATGAGCCTACCATCCCAGGTGGCGTTAGGTTGTGTGCAGCCAATTGGGAAACTAGGAAAAAATACTCCTATTTCTCTACTATATTTGGTCTAATTATTCCTGAGTACAGAAGACATTTCATTCAAAATGCATAAAGTCATCTGAGATGACTCACAATCACTCCAAACTCATCTAAAAGGCGAGTTATCTGGATCTTCATGTCCATCTGTAAAACCTGTGGGATAATGTTTGGGAACAAATATAAAAGCCTCACTAGTTTCCCTAGAAATGTGACCAGTCACTTGGCTTCATAGATTTAGCCAGTGGTCTCTGGGAACGTTCTCTGGGTAACTTCTTCCCAGACAGGGCCTATTCTGGGTCCTGTTTGGGGGACCCTCACCCTGAGACCTAAGGCTGAAAGTGATGGCTGCTAGTTATCAAAATACATTTTTGAGAAGTTTAGTAACAAAAGGAACATGAGCCCAACTGACTGCAGTGGAAGAAGAGTTAGAGTCTCACATATTCAGTGAGGAGATGCTCCCTGAGAGCTTTTCATGTCAATGGCGTTTCCTCCTGGACCCAATGACAAACCTCTTTTCCTGTCTTGGAAAAAAGATGGGATGTAGCTATGGCTAGGAAAGGTGATTTTACAAAATCCAAAAACAATTAAAATATAAGGTGGAGTTTCTGCTCATGTTGTGCAGAAAGAGATTAAATCTCTCTCTGGCTTCCTGGTGTCCTTGAAAGCACACAAGGAAAGGCGGTGAACATTCAAACCTGCATTTCAGATTCACACAAACAGACAAAAGATCAGGAAACAGGAGATGACAAAGCCTTCATTTGTAGCCTTACCCTACTTTGAGAACCTGGTGAAAGCTCCTGGCCTTCACTAGGAAAAAATCTATTTGCACGTGAATAAGCAAACCTACAACCTTTACATAAAATTCCATGAGTTTCTCCAAAGTCCTAAAATTATCATTGAATTGAAGGCCTTAACTTAATGAGCCTTTATTGAAAATTTTATGGGAAAAGTCAAATGAATTCATACCCTGTGCCTAGTGAATTTTGGCTCAGATTCAAAGAAAGAAGATATTAATATCCTTCTTCCCTCCCTCCCTCCCTCCTTCCCTCCCTCCTTCCCCTTTATCTCTCTCTCTCTATCTCTCTCTCTTCCCCCCTTGCTTTCCCTTTGTCTTCCATCAGAGAGGAGCTACATGAAAGATGATCTCAGTGTCAAATCAGTAGAACAACAATTTTGGCAAATCATTTTACATTTCACAAATCACTTTCTCATGTACAATAGCTATGGCCTATTGACAACATACCTTGTGTTTCTCCCTTATCTGTAATTTTTATAGCAAACATGCATCAAGACTGTTATTATTACTAATTTTCTAAAGAGGAGATGGTGGCTCAGAGAGAGTGCACAGCAGAAATAGGTCAAAAGTGCATGTCTCCTAACCTTTCCTCACATGCTCTTCCCACAACATGGGGTGGCATAAGAAATACTCATCCAGTGTTTAAGCAGGTTCTTACTGGAGAACTTGGGTGAACTATTTTTTGATGGCTTATCACTTAGAAAAGTATGGTTAATAGATAGGCACATAAATATTGATATAGAAATAAGTTATCATGTTGAGCATTTCAATTTGTTGCTCTGTCTTAGAGGGGTTACATAAAGTCTGGTGTAAAAAGAGGGATTTCATGTTTCTCGATACCTATGATAGTGTGTTTTATTCCTAAAACTTGAAAACGAAGCAAGCTGCAATCTAACCATCTAGTTACAAGGATGGTGCCCAGCACCGTCTGACTAAGAGAACCCAGGGCAAAGCTCTGCAGATCACACACCAGGCAGGCTGTCTTGTTCTCCCCTGTCCCTCACCACTGATTTCAGAAAACAGCTATTACGCTTATCCTTGGCATCTTATTCTGTCTACATTATGCAATGCTTATAAAGTATCCAGAAATCGAATGCTGATATTTGGTGTTTCGCCCAGTCTGAATCATTTGCTTAAAGAAGTAAACACTGTTCATGGAAAATATAAGATAAAATTATATCTGGCCATTATTGTGTGGCTCTGATACACACACACACCACACACACACACACACACACACACGCACACACACACGGATAACTGAGGTGGACACTGCTGTATGTTCTTGATATTTATTTAAGGTAACACTTCTCAGAAAACAGACTTGGGATATAGACTTGTTATCAGTTTGAAGAAACATGATTTTATTAGCCTTATCACATCAGCTGTTCTTAGGTAATATAAAGGCAATGTAGGCAGAACCCAATCTAGTCTAAGTGAAATTGAAGCATATCTAATGGTTGCTGACACTTTGCCCTCAGAATTATCCTTTGACAAAGCTAATGGTTGTGGTCACAGGTAGAGTGTAGATGAATGTGGCCTCTCCAAACCAAGGCCCTTCAGGGCTTCTATGAAGGAAGCGTGGAAAACTACCAGCCATATCTTCAAGGTTACATCAGTGGAAAGAAGCAACAAAGCAAACCAACATTACGTAAGGAAGCAAAACCACCAGGAGAGGCTGGGCACAAAAGCCTGCCACGCGCGCTGTACCTGTACAGATGAAACTGGAGAGTCCCCCGTAGATGACTTCATCATTGTCGGGCAATATAAACGGACACCTCGTCTGAACCTCCAAACAGTATTGCTTGCAAGGAATTGTCTTTCTGCAGTTTAACTGTGAGACTTCAAAGTACTGGGAACACAGCCAGGCTTTGTAGACAATCTGGAAAAATAGAGAGAGAGAAGAGAAGAATCAAAAATAGGGAGGAATGACAACAGTCTGCCTCTAATGAAGAACATGCTGTGGTTTAAGTGGACCGTAAGAAAACTCTCATTTCGAACCAACATATTTACCCAATATCAGCTGCAAGTGATAAAAACGTAGCAACACAAGTCTGCAATAGAGCAAAACAGTATTTGCTTAACCCCTTAAGAGAACACAAAAGTAATATGACGTTGGATGTGATGTAACGCATTTGAAAAACAGTGGAGGTGAGCAGGACCTGAAGTTTTCCAAATCCAGTGATATAGAAAGTGAAGGAAATCACGGGCAGTGCCCATACATGGTTATTTACTGCAGTGTGCCTGGTGACTCCGCTCTCCCAGCATGCATTCCCCCGGCTATGTTTCTAAAGGACACTAGATGGCGCTGAGTCCTCGACGACGGCCCCGCAGATCCAGAAGCACAGAACTAGTAGCGGTGAATATTTATATTTATGACTCACATCAAATGCATTAAGTATCTTATCCTCCGAAAGCCCGGAAACAGCCAGCCTAGGTCAGCCTTAGCATGCTGTGATGCTACAGGAAGGAAACTCATCAGAACCACAAATTGGACCTTTGAGATACCGTGTGATCCACATGAACATTTCTTCTTATTTATTTAATTTCATAAAATGTGAAATGGTTATGGCTTCATTTATCTCTTTGTTTTTGTTGGTATTTAGGAAAATAGATGTTGAAAAAATGTATTTTTCTAATATAAGGAAGTAAGCTGAACATAAACTCAAATAAAATAATGGCAAAAGTAACCCATCTACAGCAGAGATCTCGGTGATTCGGGGATTTCCCAGACTCTTGGCACCAGTGGCTTCTGTGTACCTGTTTCTAGGGTTAATAATATTCCGGTGAGATTTCTGTCAGTTATGTCCACCAGACAAGTGAATGTTTTACAGCTAAATGCACACTAAGGGATTATAAATACTTGACAATAACAGCAGAACGATAGCTGGTATTTAGCAATTTTATACTCTGCTCTAATAAAGTTATATACATTTTTCCACATGCAATTCTCAGTACACACACAGAAGGTAACTATTAGTCACATTTTCATACAAATAATAATTAGTAATGGAAGTAAGCAGAAGATCCAGAATTCAAACCCATATTCTGTAGGATTCCAAATTCTGCACTCTTCATAATTACGTTTAATTAGGAATGGTTTTTCAAAAGAATTTTAAAAATCACAAGAGATTGATCTTGCAGATTAATCTGAAATCAGCACTGAATTGCATGTACCCAGTCAGTGTCCCTTTGGTCTAAGAAAGATGGTATTCAATTTTTATTTATAATTTTTTATTGACTTGATCAAAATAAAGCTTTATTATTTGATCAAAGGATTCTCAGTGGCGATAAAATGGGATGCGTATGAATTCAGCTATAACTTTAGATACCTAAAAGTAATTTTATTTGCTGTCGCCATTGGTTCATAATCACCATATAACCTGATGGAAACATATACAATAATCAGTATTTTAATAGGTCTTTTGAACAGATCTTACTATAAAAATACGCATTGGAAACTGCATTAGAAATAATACTACTGTAGCTGAGGAAGCCCCTAAGATTTCTTAAATTTCAACTGGGAAGTGGGGTGGAGTGTGTGGGTGAGGGACAGGAGGTGGCTGTGCTGTGGTGCCATGCCCGCAGAGAGAGGCTAACACCATCAGCCTCAGGACAGAGGGGAAAAAAAAATGCCATGGTTTCCTAACTGTACTTTGGGGAAGTTGGAGATATTTTTTCAAAATACCATTAGTATTTGTTCAATATGACATAATATGGAATGTGATAGATGACATTTACGATACAAACTGAGCTGTCATCCAAGAATGGTAGGTGTCTGTTTTGCGAGCCCTGGTTTAGACTTCCTTTTTTAGGTACTAGAGGAAGTTGACTATGTTTATGTATACAGTTCTAGCAACAGTACAATTCCATTACAAAGAAAGCTTACATTCTGCTCATTTGGATTCTAAAGATTAGAGTCATCTCTTTTCTCTTAGGGAATGGCCCTGTGTAATTCCAGAAAATTACATGTACGTATTTTTTATGGGCCAGACTGCTTTCTATTTGTTCTCCCAGTTCAATTTTGCAGAATTGTTCTAATTAAAATGGCTTATGACTGAAGTCACCCGTAAACTCTATCTTAAGAAACAATGTCTCCTCTCTCACAGGTGATGGGGTATCTCATATTGAAGTCTCTAGGGATATATGCACATCCTCTTTTTATTCAGTCTCCTTAGCATTGTCTAATGGGAAGAGATCCATTTTTATTCTGGATCCTTAAATTCTATGTCAGCTATATTTCCTTTGCAGATTTTTGGCTTAAACAAGTCATCAAATCAGTTTTTATAAATGTCATGTTGTAGTCATAAAGAAAGCGATTATGATTTGCAGAGCCACCAGCAGAATTCTGGATCTCCCATGGCAACCTCTCTGGCCAGGTTTCATTACATTATCAATTCTTTTGATCCAAATCCTAGACTTTTGAAATGCAATAGAATATTCCTCATTTGAGTCTTAAATATTTTCTAAAAGTTTAATTCCAGGGATGCAATATGTCTGAAAGCAACCAGGGAAAACTTTGTGGACAGAAAAAGAAAAGTGAGGTGCTCATTGTTGCTTCAATAGCTGAGGGAATTGTTGCTGTGTGCTGATGTCGATAGCTTTCAAATGTGAAATTAGACGATAAAGACAAGAGACAAAATAGACAGGTGAATATTGGTATGAAGAAGAGCTTTCTTGCCAGTGGTACAAAAACAAAATGGGCTGACTTGAGAGGTCCTGAGTTCTCTATAACTGAAAAAAGTCTAATAGAGTTTAGAAAACTCTTTTCAATATGCTGTGAAGAAGACTCGTGTTAGGAGGGTGAGAGAACTAAATGGTTCTGATATAATTTCTAATGCCCTTTTGCAAGAGGTTTGAGAGAGGGAGGCTGAGAAAATGTTTTGAATTGGCAGAAAGCTAAAGAAACAAAATAATTAGTTTTTAAAAGTACTAAGGCATTTTCAAATTAAAAACAAACATGGTGAGAAGCAAATATAGTAGTCTTAATTCATAAGAACTCCAAACTAACAAAGGTCAGCAGTCTGTTTTATAACGGCTTAGCCTTATCCTATAGTGAGTAACATTGGGCACTCGCTTTTCTCGGTGTCACTGAATGGTGTAAATGATTATAAGATGCTTAACAATTATTTTGGAAAGGAACAAAAATGTGTGTAAGGTAATGGGCAAACGACATCCACCCACACCCCTCATTAAGGGTTTGTACCATGTTCTACCTGTAGAAGTGGTTATGTTTGCCAGGGCACTTCAAATGTACCACTCACGCACACTCTCACCTCTGTGCTTGGAAATGACTATTGACTATATAAAAAATGTGCTCGGAGAGCTGTCCATCTTTCAGTAATAGAGACTATTCTTCAGTTACAGTTAAGGAAAGGAACAGACTAAATTGTAAAAATGGCCTGAGAACATTAATTTTACTTAAGACTTGGGTAACAATTTTCCCTTTTCTCTCAAAGCATTTTCTCATTTGTTATTTTTCTTCATGAAATCCTTGAGATGCGTTTGATAAATATTTTAGGAGAGAAAAAAAAAACAGTCACAGAGAGATTACAGTAGCAAACAAACAGAATCCAATGTATGAGCCCTATTGTCATTGGGAACTCTTGTGACTGGAACTCCTCTAAGAAGATATAGAAAGTGCTGACTGTAGAAAAAAGTCTGGGCCTCTGGAGTCACCAAGGCATGATGTTCCGGAGTGTGAAGGCCCCCCCTAGAGACTGCCCACCCGAGTCTCATGTCACAGTTGGAATTGGGAGCTGGAAGGACTACGAGTGACGGCACCCCCACATCCCTGACACACAGGCCATTGTTTTAACAACGCACCACAGTATTTGGAAGGTACCATCTGAGTATTATCCATTCCTAACATATCCTTTTTATATTTTTTTATTCCTGCAAGTCACTTCATTTCAGGCTGCTCTTTGGAAACTTTCCCTGGCAATTATGCACAGTGGGCTGCAATGCGCCACCACCCCCACTTGGCCCTGGGGCTGTATTCCCTCGGTGACAAAGGCCTGTTGGAAGATGTGGGTGAGGAGAGCAGAGTACGAGGAGAGGAGGGGTAATCCAAGGGCCCTGCGGTCTCCTGACTTTATTTCCAGACTCTTGATGAAGACTGTTTTGTTTGTTTGTTTGTTTGTTTGTTTTTTAAAGATAATTTTCAGGGTTCAGCAAAGTTTTGTTTGTAATGGCACAAACATGGTTGAGTTGAAAATTTCGGGAGATAGAGAGAGGGAGGGTTCTTTGCCTGCCTCTGACTAAGGGAAGTGATGTTAAACAGTGGGGCTGGCTCTGGAAGGGAATGCTTTATGTGGATATAGGATGAACCTGAAATAGTCACCATTTTGTTCATTAGAAGTTTCCCAGTGCCCTGAATCATCATGGTTGCAAGAATTACCCTTATAAGTGGCCTTCACTATATTCTGTGTCAGGTTCTCATGACCTCCCTTGGCTCTGGACGTTCCGTATGACTGAGGTTAATGCTGTGGATAGCCTTTCACAAAATGCCTAAGATTGATATTTTTCCAATAGAGGCTCAGGTTCTCATTTCTTTTAAATATATTGCCTCCCTCCTCAGCATTTATATCTATGGCTTAGAGCTAGGTAGAATATTTATGTTTCAAATATATGTTAGCCTACTGACAAAAATCATGTTGGTTACAAATTTTTATTATTAAGAAAAATGGCAGGTAGGGAAAATGGCTGTCATCATCACATTAGAAGGTTGAATTCCCTTTTTCCCCCAAGTATTGGTAAAGGCTGACTCCTTTTACATTTATAATATATGTTGATACATTTTATGAGATCCTTTTCTGTCAACTCTAATGTGTGAGTGGCCTGAGTTTTGAGTGTGTGGGTGAAATAATTGGTTATGTAAGC